AGTTATCTTAATAATATTATATGTGGTCATGTAGGCCACATAAATATTCTAACATTTGTATCCAAAGGAAAAATAACCGTTTGTAATAATGTTGTACTTGAATTTGTATACAAAAAAAAAAAAATAGAAAACAAACGAGGGTTTAGGAAAAATGGAAACAAGTTCTAGAGCGATTAAGCGTTAGGGGTAGAGGTACATTACGTGGTTTAGGATTATTCTCATGACACAAAACCTTACCATCCGTGTTTAAAATAGTTATAGTTTAGAACTTTGAACCCCTCCAATTACAAAATCCATGTGTTAAACCTCAGTCAAAAAAAAGTTTTAAAAAATTTAGGCAGGTACTAAGTAAAATTAAATGAATTTTAATGGTACTTACTAAAATTAAATGAAGTGCATCCCTTTATTATGATAACAATGAAATGAAGGAAAACTAGAAATCAGGAAAAATGATAATCAATCCAAGGTTACTAGTAACATATTACAGTAATACTAATACAGAAATAATAGCAAAACACAATTGATGTATGTAATGAAGAAATGAGGTAATCTTATGGAAATGGTATACTCATGTAAACAAAACAATGCAAAGGGAAACGAGGTAATCATATGGAAAGACGATAGTCATTAGACTAATACTAAATTTTCCTTCCAACTCTACACTTTTGTATTGTCTTATCTTGAATTGGATTTGGCACGAGAGACTAAACAAACTAGAGGAGACAGATTATTCGAATTATACCCAACTATCACTGTGTGAAAATTAATTTTGCACTGGTGTAGGTGTTACCGTTTCATCTGCGTTTCAAAAATCATCATTCAATTGCTACCCACCCGTATTACTAACTAAACAACCACCCAGCTCTATCGAATCATACCCAACTACCACTCTTTGCAAATTAACGTTGCATTGGCAATATATTGAATGCTGTTAAGGTGGCAAATAACTTTGGCAAATAGGTTACAGCCCATCCTAGGAGTGGCCACGATTCAGATTTAAATCGAAATCAGATCAGAACTGATTCGACGGTTTGTTGAACTGAAATCGAAACCAAATTTTGGACATCGAAATTGGAACCATAATTGTGGCTAAAGGTTTAGATTCAGATTCATCAAAATTCTGAATCGAAACCAGAATCGAAATCGGTGGTTTACAGCCCATTTAAACCATCTAAAAAAATAATTGCCACCTAAACATATTTAACTAGTTTATGGTTTAATATCAACAGTCAACATCTAATACTAGTAGCTCTAATTCTAACCCAACAACTCATTGTCCCATTCCATTAATAAGTCTATACCTCATGACTAATCTAAATCTAAGATGAATCTAATCTAATCAATAATAAAATATTTTTTCATAAAATTTGCATAATTTTTTCTTTTTCTTGCACATGATGATATAATAAGTTTTTTTTTTTTAAATTCATTATCATATTTTTTTTTGGAATCAATTTTATACCAACAAGTGTTTAAATATAACAAAAAGAATCGGAACCGTAACTGAAATCGTAGGTTCAAGAAACGTAATCATAACTACTCTTTTGAGGACTGATTTATGTTCTATCTTTCAAAAGAATCGAAACCGTCAATTTTGAAACTGGAACCGATGGCTTCAAAACACTGGCGATGTCTAACGCACCTATCCTCCTCTTATTTTAAACCAGCGGCATTACGTTCTTTTAGAAACTAATTTGTGCACCCTATCTCATGTTACCTCTTGTTACTCGGTTTTTTTTATATACCGAAAAGTGTAAATAATGGAGACTTTGACCTTTCATCTCATGTGTCACCGCCTGCGGCTGCGTCCCGCAGGCATTAACGCACCTTCGAGCGTTACTTTGTAGAATTAAATCAAAGAAAGATTTTAACCAATGAGCTATTTATGACTAACTAGACTTGTAAAATAATAAACAATTATGTTAAGAAATTATCAAATAAAATACAAACTTTTGAATGACACAACTACTAAAAAATTTAACTATAGATAAAACTATTAAATAATCAACTAAAACTTTTAGGGTTGTTTTATTTGTCAACATATATAAATAAAATAAAAGTACGGGTGACTTTGGCATGAAGATAATTTTGTGTAAAGTTGATGTTGTGGTTGAATTCTGTTGGTGACTTTGGCATGAAGTTGAAAATCTAGTGATTAATTAAAAAGAAACCCTGAATATTGCATTTATTTTAAGCAGTAAAAAATGATTTCTACAGAACTTGTTGGTTATAATTAGAATATAAGTTGAAAATGAAATTTAGGGTGCATTCAGTTCTAAGTTTCTAGTCCGATAATGGTTGGCAAGGACACTTATGATAAGGAAGAAAGAAGAAGAAAAAGCAAAAGTGTAAGAGAAACAAAAAGTAAAGGAAAATGAAAAAAGAAATAGATTGATCAATCTAATTGGCTGTGCCTTTCATATTTTATATGTTTGATACATGTTGATATTTTTGGTTTTCCCCAATATGTCTTTCTAATTATTTGACAGCGCAACGCATTGTTAAACGTTCAAAGGCAAATCTAATATTTAGAATTAAAATTAAAGATATGGACAGTGAGAATATCCTTAACCTTGGAGAGAAGTGGGGTGAGGGAGGTGGTGTTATTACAAGACATACTGTCAGTAAACCATATAGATTAGGGCAGTATTCCTCTCCTGTGTAAAAGGATTTCTCACCAAAAAAAAAGAAAAGAAAAATGATATGTTTCATCTCTTATATTTTAGGAAAGAAAACTTTTTTTCTTTATTTTTAAAATAAAATAAATTAGTCCCTCACATTTTAAAAACGAAGCAAATTAATCCCAAAATGATAACCTGATATAGATTTTGAGGGTAAAATTGAAACATCACTTTAGTTTTAACCAAATCTAACTATATCTGATATGGACACGATATTAAGTCAATAGAAAAAGGAAAAAGATTAAAAATTACAACATAAAAAAACCTTCTCTCTTAAAAAATAAAAAAATTTTCAAAAAGTGATATTAAGCTAACATAAAAAGAAAAAATTAAAATTATAACATCAAAAAAAACGATTCTCTCTAAAAGAAGAAAAATTTAAAAGTTATAACATCAAAAACAATTCACTCAAAAAAGTTTAAACAATTTTTGAATTATAAAATTTTGTAACTTAGGGGTTTTTTTTCATTATTGTTTTTAATTTTTCTTCCTTTTTATGTTGACCAATGTCATTGTCTCAAAAAATTTTAACTTTTTCTTGGTATTATGTTATAATTTTTAATTTTTTCCTTTTTACGGTCACTTAATGTCTTTTTATAGCGATGTTCCAATTTTATATCTAAAATCTATATTAAATTGTCAATCTAGGATTAATTTGCTTCGTTTTTAAAATGTGAGGAACTAGTTTGCAGCATTTTAAAAGTGAGAGATAAAAAGTATTTTTTGCCAAAAGGTAAGGGATTAATTATCAGTGCTAATATATAGTTAATTGTGTATGTTAAGGTGTCGTGGTTGTGTGGCATATTTTATGCCAATGTACTGCAAAGGGCTTTTGTGAGATCTAGGCATTGTCACTACAGACACTACAAGCCATATATTTCGTCTGTTTTATCCTCAAAAAAAAAAGCCATATATTTCGCCAATATTAGTGTGGGGTATTAATGAGGTCAGTTTTCCAGCCATTGGACTATTTTGTTTTTTTCCCACATATAAGATTGTCTTGGCCTACCAAGACTTTACTGTAGTATGCAAAACCGTGGGACCTATAAAAGTGTGTTGGTCATGACTTCAGTGTGTAGTTAATTTATTAAGGAACACTTGCATATTAAGGAAGAGAAGTTAATGCAAGGGTCTGTTTGGTTGGAAGTAAAATGTTTTCCTTGGGAAAATATTTTTCGTGGAAGTAATTTTCCATGAAAATCATTTCCCTTTCATCATTTTCAGGTGTTTGGTTAGTTTATTGAAAATATTTTCTTACTTCATTTTTCTGGTGTTTGTTTAACTTTTGAAATATTTTCACTTTTATCTCTATCTTTACTTTCTACACATTATAACTACATACTTCTTCCCATGCAAAATAAGAAAATTTATCTCATTGTTTAACTTTAAAAAATCTTGGAAAAATGTATATATAAATAAAAAATATCTCCTTAAGCAATAAACAAATTGCTAGCCATTTAGTGTCAAATATAAATCACTTGCAATGCTTATTGTGACATATATCTTGCACTCTCACTGCTGAAAGTTTCTCTAGAAAAGAATGTCCCTATTATACATAATTAATTACTAGCATAGGATGAGCAGGATGAGATTTTTTTTTTGATTTTGAATATACTAGGGGGGAGGGGGGAGTGTAAGGAAGAGGTCTTGGGTTCGAGTCCTCCTGTTTACACTAAAAAAAAAAAAAAAAAAGAACATACTACAAGATATTTTCAGTAAATTTGGAACATACTATAGGCGGGATGCATACATTTCGGAAAACAACTTCAGTAAATTTGGAAGGGAAGTTGTTTTCCATAAGATGAGTGAAAATATTTTACATAGGAAAATGTTTTCAGTAACTTTTATGCAACCAAACACGAAAAATTAGGAAAATATTTTCCTGAAAAACATTTTCACCCGAAACAAACGGACCCTTAGTCGCAGAGTAGTCTATAGTAACTTTAGCAATTATTATATGCTATATGAGATACAGTATTAGTCAACAGTTAATTTTAGATTTTGAAGGCATGGACACATTATTATCTTTTTTAGAGTGTAATATGCATCATGAATAATTTTTGCAAGGCAATTCATGCGTTGTGGTTTGGGTTATTTATTGTAATTTCATGTTGGTTGCTTTTTTTTTTTTTTTAAGTCTTAATTAACGAATTCTATTATCTTTTAGATTCCTAATTAATCAGACTAAAACAGATTCTATTTTCATCACATTGGTTGTTGCATCCATCATGTGTTCTCAAAAATTAGTTAATTGGGAGTGCATCCATATGTTGTCCACAAGTCCGCGTACCAAAACAACTCGGCCTTCCATTCCATTCCACCATGTGAATGGAACTGCTTTGTTTTTGACTAAAATAATTGCTCTTGCACAAGTCAATGAATTAAGGATAAAACTGGAAGAGAAAATGAACCACAGGGATCCAACCTCTCTGCCGAGATCAGTTAAAACAACAGCTTGTTGAAAGCAAAGCTCGCTTCCGGCTTAACCAAGATGGCTGACTCTGTCATCTCTCTTGTCATTGGGAGGATTGTTGATCTGCTGAAAAAAAATTCTGTTTTCCTGAAAGATGTTGAACGACAAGTTGAAAGACTTGGAAATGATCTGGAGTGGATGCGGTGTTTCCTGAAGGATGCAGAACAGAGGCAAGATGAAGATGCCAGGATCCGCAACTGGGTTTCTTTAGTCAGAGCTGCTGCCTACGATGCGGAGGATGTCATTGAGATCTTTGCCAGCAAAGTTGAGTTCTTCACAAAGGACAACGGACTCATCACCAAATTGACGTATTATCCCTTGAAAATTGTGAACCTCTACAGGATAGGTAAAGAGATTGAATCCTTGCGGATCAGGCTTAAGGAGATTGCTGACAGCCGCGAAGAGTATGGTATCAATAATCTTGGAGAGGGGATCACTACACATGGAGAAGAGCTTCAACGGATCCGGCGATCCTCTCCTTTCAGCGAGGACAAGGATATAGTGGGCTTCGAGAAGATTACAAAATTTCTGGTGGCAGAGCTTATGAAAGAGGACAGAAACCGCCGTGTGGTTTCAATCGTTGGCATGGGAGGTGCTGGTAAGACAACTCTAGCCAAAAAAGTTTATAACCATGCTGATGTCAGGGCAAGATTCAATTGCCGTGCTTGGGTCTGCGTCTCTTCAAGCTACGATCACAAAGAGGTGCTGAGATCAATCATAAAGCAATTGAATACAATAAGTAAAGAGCTACTTGAAGTGTTGGAAAAGATGGAAGAGCAAGACTTGGAACAAAGGCTGTATCAAGATCTACAAGATAAATGTTATCTTGTGGTGCTTGATGATGTATGGAAGGAAGAAGCGTGGGATTGTCTTGCTAGGGCCTTCCCTGATGTTAATACATCAAGTAGATTGCTACTTACAAGTCGCAATAGGGGTGTTCCCTTACACGCAGATGCTCTTAGCATCCCATATGAGCTGAAAACTTTGGGGCAGGAAGATAGCTGGCAGTTGTTCCTCAGAAAAGCCTTAGGCCATGGGGATAATGCTGGGTGTCCTCCAGATTCGGAAGAAGTAGGCAGAGAGATTGCAAGGAGATGTGGTGGTCTGCCACTGGCCATCACGGTTATAGGTGGGCTGCTACTGACAAAGAAAAGGTTGAAGAGTGAATGGGAGAAAGTTCTCAACAGCTTCAACACAACCCTATCAAGGAGCCAGAGTGGAGTATCAGCAATTCTGGAATTAAGTTATGCAGATCTTCCTGCCAATCTGAAATTTTGCTTTTTGTATTTGGGTTTGTTTCCCGAAGATTACGTGATTTCTGTGCGCAAGTTGATCCATATGTGGGTTGCAGAGGGAATAATGCAGAAAAGATACGCAGAAAATTTGGAGGAAACTGCAGCATATGATGTGGAACAACTTTTTAGCAGAAATATGGTCCAAGTGGCGGAAATGACTGTTGATGAGAGGATTAAAAGTTGCAGAGTCCATGATTTACTGCGAGAGCTGGCAATCTGAAAGGCAGAGGGTGAAAATTTTTTTCAGATCCATGACACCAGAGATGATAAAATATCAGCCAAATCCAGGTACCTTGCTGTTCATATACTCCCTCGGGATAAAAATTATTTTGGGACTTCGACCCCTCCTCTCCGGTCTCTACTTTTTTTCAATATCCACGGTTACAAGGAAGAAATTAGTCTTAGCTTCAAAAGTTTTAGAAAGCTTAGGATATTAGACCTTGAGAATGTTGAGATGGGTTATAATTTGCCAAAAGAAATTGGTGAAGTCAGGCTTTTAAGGTACCTCGGTTTAAGAGACAGATCGATTACAAGGCTCCCTCATTCCTTCGGTTGCTTGCGATACCTACAAACTCTTGACATACGGAACATTAAGCAAGTGATAGTTTCAAATTTCATTTGGAAGCTTGAAAGTTTACGGCATCTATATGCGAATCGCATAGGAAGTAATGTGCCTCTCAAGATTGAAGGATTGAGGAATCTTCAGACTCTGTCAGGCATGCACTTTGATGATGTTATGCACAATAACATGATAACTTTGACGAGTCTTCAGAAACTGGGGATTAGAGTAGATGACAGATCACAGATAGACAAACTCTGCATGCATTTATCTAAGGTTGGAAGTCTGAAGACGTTACATCTTTATTGTACTGAAAGAAGGCCGTGGCTATCTCTAGCTGGACTTTCTAAGCTCCGTCATGTAACAGAGCTTAAGCTATCCGGGGAGTTGAGAATGCTGCCTCCTGATTTACCTCGAAACCTCTCTCGCTTGTCTTTGAAACACACACTCCTCAAGGATGATCCAATGCCAATACTAGGGAAGTTGGGACAGCTGTCGTTCCTCAAAATGAAAGTTGCATATGGGGGATCACAGCTAGTCATTTCTAGGCATGGGTTTCACCAATTGAAATTCCTTGAGCTCAACTCCCTATATGATTTGGATGAAATAAATGTGGAGGAAGGTGCATTGCCACAGCTCCGGTGCCTGAGAATCGGGAACTGCCGCAAATTACAGAACTGTCACATACCCACTCTTGATGCGCTTGAGCTTGTGGACATGCGAGAAAATTTTATCAGTAGACTTGATGCGAACATGGTATCCAGCGTCCCTAACCTCAGAATATTAAACTCTAGGATCTTGCCGAAGGAACGATTTCCGTATTGGTATTTCGTGCATAGAATGCAAGCTATGTCGTGAAGTGATTAATAAAATTATTTCAATTTTTTTTATCAAAATATATAAATAAAAAGAATGTTTCCGATTCAACATAACTTTTGTTTCCCCAATTTGACATACTTGCTTTACCATTGTTTTAGTTTTTTATTTTCGTCACATAATTTAGACCAACCGACAAGCTTTTTAAGTGCTTTTTTTTTTTTATTATTTGAAATCTCACGCTTCAATGCTTGCTTTTTTAATTATCCCACTATTAAACAAGGAATGACTCTTTTGTTATTAATGATATTTTGGGTAACTAACAGTGGCTACACCTATATCTCATAGGATTTGTCTTTCTATCAATTTACATTGCATATATCATATTAATACAAGTAGTAATTAAAAGAAAAAGGTTCATGTCTAATTCCATAAAAATATCTAGAGGCATTTGGCAATGAAATTGACTATATAACCATAGGCCGATGTGAAGGTACTCAAACAGAATTAATCAATCACCTTAAAAACAAGGATTTTTGTAATGGTATCCAGTGACAGTATCTATGTACACACCTATACATATTTTTTTCAAATTAATATTTCACTATTGCCAGAAAAGACTAACACACGAGTAACCGCTAGCCAAGCTCTAAAAACAATATAAAATACATTCATTTTAATATAGTCAAACTCCTAAAATAATAAATAAGGTCTATTTTTTGTAGACGAGGGAATGAGAAATTTAATAACAGAAAATCAGGATACAATTTTATAAGGATGTATACAATTTTTAATACAATTTCTTTTGCATTCTTTAGATCTCCTGCGCAGATACAACCTTTGGCATATAAGGATGTATCCAAGAATGATTACCTTTGGCATGATGGCTGACAGCCATGTTTCTGTGTCTGCAATTCTATATCGACACAAAAGAGTCGGTTATGTTATTCCAATGACTTTGATGAATTGTTTTCTTTTTCGAACTCCATTTAACTGGTCGAATTTACACGTATGATCCATTACATATGTTATTTTTTTGAATGTGTCTAAAACCAATTTGGTTCCTGATTTGCGAAAGATGATATTGTAGGAAAGATGTATCCAAGAATTTATTGTTGGACATATTTGCGAGTCCAAATTTAGCTTCGTTAGAGAGAATTAAGTCGTCAGGAAAAGGAAAGAGAAACTTTTGGAAATTGAGATGAAAATGGAGTCAGTGGGAGAAAAAGAAAAAGGAAAGATATGCAGAAAAGGAAAATTAAAAAAAAGTTGTTTATAAAATGGGAAAACAGAAAATGAAGGAAAATGAACTTATGTCCCTTCAAAAGTTAAAACTCTACATCTTTCTTCTTTTTGGGGAAAACCAAAAGAAAAAAGAAAAAAAAGAAGAAGCATTATTCACCTTAAGCTAATTACAATAAAGGAAAGTCGGGCTTTTTTTTTTTTATTATTGATACAATAATTTCTATTTTACATCTACTCCTACTCTACACTAAGGGCAAAGCCTCTACACTGGCTAGTGAATTTTCCAGGGAATTTTGAGAAGAAGCCAAGGGATTTATCCCTTAACCTACGGGCAAAATGCACTTTTCATCCCCATTGTTTAGGGTATTGAACAATTTTATCCCTAAAGTTTCAGTCAAAACATATTTCATCCTCAGAATTTTATAATTTTGACCAATTTCATCCCTATAATTTCATGCATACACATTTCATTCTAATAGTTTCATAAATTTTACTAATTAAGAATAATTGATGGATTGTCAAGTTATTTGAATGAATATCATCACTTGACCATAGCATGCCGATTAGTAAAGCACAAAAAAACGTTGGATCAACAAAAATCTCAAAAAAAAATTTTAATTCACTTTATTATTTAAAAAATAAGAAATTTTTAGCCACTGCTACTCTCTTCTTAATCACAAATTGTATAAAAAGTTTGAGAGGAAACGACATCATGGAGAAGAAATAGCCCTATTATGGCCAATTGGAAAAATTTTTCAAACAATCCCAATGCAACTAATTGGAGAAAAATATTAATGTGAAAGAAAAAATTTTTAGATTGTTATTTATTTTGGAAAATTTTGTTTTGTTGTATCATATACATGTTTTTCAAATTGTCTACTTATCATCCAATCTATTTTTTTATCTCACATACATCATATCACAAATTAAAAAAAAATCTCTTATCTAAACACACTCATTATTATTTATGTAATTTAATAAATAACCGAATTAGGTATTAACAATACAATTATTAAAGGGACATGCTAGTCATGTGATGATATTCTATTCAAATTGGTTAATAATCATTCGATTGTCCTGAATTGATCAATTTTATGAAAATATGAGGATGAAATGTGTTTGCAAAAAATTTTAGAGATGAAGTTGATCAAAATTATAAAATTACGAGGATAAAATGTGTAGCTTCAATGACGTAATATTTTGGCAGGTTTTTTCGTCTGCATGCATTAAAGAAGGACCAAGACTTGGAAAATTTTTCTCCACACACACAAAAATCTAGTGTACTTGTACCATGGAAATGAATTTAGAATAGATAAAAAAAAAAACCATTTGATACTTCAAAAATTGCTTCGTGGAATATGCCACACTTTATAAATGGGTTAAATTACAAATAATTCCCCTGTAGTTTAACTTCTTACCAGATTCGCATTAGAATCTGGAAATGGCCACATAACCTACCATTGATTTCTAGCTAATTAAAACTCATTCTGATGAGGAGAGCCATAACTGTTGAAAAGTTTGATAATTATGTAACCCATCTTAATTATAAGGCCATAAAAATTGTTGATAGATATTACTATGCATAACTAGTATTTGAATAAATTATTTCAATTTGTCAATTTTTTGTTTTTTTTGTAACTAAAACATTTTGTTTTGATCCTAATTTTGTTATGCATATGCGATCACACACAATACAGATTAAAAGACATCGAATCATTACAATTGGAGTTTTAAGCTCTTAGAATCATAAATTCAATTTAACTAGTAAACACATTAGTCATGTTAACATTAAATCCTCCTCTTTCCTTCATTCCCTCATAAGATTATTCGAAACTGAAAAAATAAAAATATTACAGTTGTACTTCTTAAGACAATTGACGCAGGACAAGTTGCTTATCTTCCGTGTGAGTTAGGCGTTATCAAGCGTACGTGTTAGAAAATAGCAGTAATATAATTTAGTAAAAAAATGAACAGTCACATAAAATTTGTTTAAATACGCAATAATAACTAATTTAAACATGTTTTCACCATTGTAATCCAATAAATAGTCTTCATATAATTTTAATTGAAACTCATTTCACATTGTAAGTTATTAAGTGGCAGAATGTCTCAAATATATACTTCATCAAATTTTTCCTCAAAATTGAATATTCCAAGCATAAGTAATACCTGCTGATCTTACTCTTTGCTGTTTCTTTCTTTTTTTTTTTTTTTTTTTTTAAGGTTAAAGGGAGATTTCACGGTCCACAGGGAGTAAAGTGATAGAGGAAAGTGTAAGAGTCGAACTAAAACCTCATGGTTACATTGCTATTATCCTTTGAGGATGGTTGATATTTCCTTGAGTAGAAGAAAACTACACATATAACTCTATATTCGAAGTCCTATATTCACCTAAATGTTCACCTGATGCTAGGAAATTAACCATCATTCCTTATTATTTTTACTTTATTTATATATTTACTTGCTAAAATCTTCTCATAATTTAAAACAAAAGAATAAAAATCGAAATATAGGATAACTTTGATATTTTTCAACAAGTGATTTTGAGACCTATCAACACTCCAAACTAAGACCGCAATCTCACACTAATTAATTTTTGTCTTTATACGGAGACAAGTCTTGTGACTGTTTTTGGGTAGTTTTTTTTTTCAAAGATAGGCAGATAATTAGATTAGAAACGCTCAGAGAGTTAGGGGAAAGACTGGCCTAAGCAATCTAAGGGGACCCACCAAACTTCCACGTCCAGCCAATTGGTGTTTTTGGGTAGTTCAATTGGCCAAAAGTTTATGCTTTCATTTTGACAAGTCAATTGTAGTGTATCTTTTGGCAAAATGTCATGCTTTCATGTTCAAATTGCTTCCAATTCCAACGCGGCCAAGACCTGCAACTTACAACAACTCAACAATGGAATGGTTTCTTTCCACAAAATAGGCACATTATCTTCCCATTCAAACCAGAAAAATAATACTGTTAGTTCTACCAATTTTATATTTTCTAAAATATATGAGAGATTGGGGTGATTTGGGATAATTCTACCAATTCAAGTCTCCAGTTTAATAAGTCTAGGTCTTCTCTGAAAGTGAATGCTGGACTTTCTCGGCCTAAACTTCAGAGCATTATGCGGATGATGACTAGTGGGCAAGACTCTTTTCTTTTTTTTCTTTTTTTTTGGAAAAGTGGGTGAGACACCTTGTTTGGATTGTGATTATCCGTAGAAAAATTTTTACCGTAAATATATTTTACAAGTACTTTTTTAATTTATATATATCAAATGGTAGACAGAGACAATAACAGCATCTAATGCACATATGCAAGGACAAAGATAGCGACAGTTAATAGCATAAAGTTCGTGCCCTGGGTCTCAAACTCGTTTTATTAATTTTTCTCCCAAGAAACTGTTACAAGTCTTTTAACGTGTGTTCTGGGTTTTCCGACAAGGATGTCCAAGACTCAACAAAGTACAGCCACAACAGACTGCTTTCTTTCCACGTAATTGGAACATTATCTTTAACAACGACAATATGTTGAAGGGAAAATATCATCGAGTCTACACAGGATTAATAATAAAAAAAAAAAAGACAAACTTTGTCATCACAAGATGAGTTTTAAATTCAAATTTTGCATAATTATCATTCATCCAACGTTAATAGTGTATATAGTATATACTGTTAGTGTAGGTAAGATTAATTCTAAAAATAAAGCTAGAGTTGTGGGCACTTGTTTAACTACAAATGAGTTGCTACGTATACTCTAATTTTTTGAAATAGCTCTATCTCAGATAAAATTATATTCTTTTATACGTTCTAGATTACCACAAAAAGTATGGCTAAACAATTGTACAAAATGAAGCAGAACCAAGTCTTGACAGAACTATTCTATACTAAAATGAAATACTTTATCCGAGAGTATGCATAGTTAAATCATCTAAAGAGTATTGTTTTATTTATTTGTTTATTTAATTTTATTTTTGTTTTTGTGGAAATCTAAAGAGTATTGTTCAAAACGATGAATGAAGTTATGAAAAGTGGACCAACCATAGCCGAATTCAAATCCCTTATCCAGAAATGATAAACCACAGCCCTATGAATGAAAAATGCATGGGGCTGAACTTTTCACAAGTTGGAAAAAATGGTTTAAGCCTACACATTGAGTCCGATTAGAAACTTGATTCAGATTGGGCTGAGACAAGCTCAACACGTTATGCCCTATATCTTTCTAGTATCTTTCTAGATAGAACCCTGTTTTTAGTCTTTTTCTTTGGTTTGTCATAAGTGAAAATCCTGCTACAACCCTGTTTTCAGCCTATTCTCATCCCAAGATATGATAGACCACGCTCCTAGAGCTAATTTTCTCACCAGGTTGCATCAGGATTTGGTTTTGAGATGATAATTCATTCCACAATAAACACCACTGATCTGCAATCACGCCCCGCCTTATCAACCTTTCTTCAGTATCTAATCGACATTTCTACACATAAGACACATGATAAAGTCATGCCATAACAATTTCATTGCTGACTTAAAAAAAAAAAAAGACTGCATCTCATTCCTTCCACTTCCTATTCTCGGTTTAATTCCATTGCCTTCAGTAATAATCGAAGAGACCTTAGCCTTGGACAGCTAACAAACTGCCTTACGCTATTATGGCCTTATTTCTGTAACAAAGGTCCGTGGGGGTGTCAATTTATGAAGAGCAGTACTCCATGTACACTATTTACAACACCATCAACGAGGCCATCGATATATGCACTTCTTTCTTCAGGAGCTTTCAAACAAGGAAGTAAAATCTATTGAACTTAAATCCTTTTCTAGACCTCCTTATTGGGATTGTGGATAAAGGTTGGGAGAAACTGTAGCTCCTTTTTCTTTTTCGTTTCCTTACCCTCTTAGACCATCCTTCTTGAACGAGAAATGAACATATGAAAACAAATAATAATTCTAGTGAAACATCTGATACATGCATGGCAAAATTGCTTCTTGGCTCAATTTACCAACGTAATGCATGCCAGTGTTACTTCTTCCTCAATTTATCAACAACATGAAATACAAGCTATTTAGAGATCACCTACTGAAAATCTGACTCACAGAGCTGAACTTTCTATTTTTCCTAGGGCTGAACTTTCCTTTTTCCAGTACAGTGAAAGCCCAAGCAAAATTGCATCTGCTACATGTCGGCTCAACAAGATTTCATGTAAAGTCACCCTTATCATGTAAACTTTAACTCTTCAACATTTGAAGTCCAAGTCTTTCTTGTAGGATGAATTGTGGACTTCTTATCAGCAACAATAAACTCTATTCTTGTGCAAATATATGAAAGTATATCAATATGGAACCACATAAACGGTTAATTAACAAATATATAGATTTTGCAGAAACAGCTTCTTAAATTTGTATTGATTAAGATAGATTTTGAAAATTTTGGTTCAATTAAATACTTTCAACCAAATAATAATTTAACTAATTTGTTGAAATTGCATCAACCATTGAAAAAAAAAAATGAAAAGTGAAGAGATTGAAAACTTCACAAGATAACATACAATCTTTTTCCACATTTTGGTGATACAAACATAATTAACTCTCTTTTTCTTGGTTACTTCTTTTTTTTTTTTTTTTTTGGCTAAGTATAGAATTCGTGTGCTATCTAGTGATAAAATACGAAGCAATTATCTAAGTTTTTAATTGATTACAAACTTAATTCATTGCACACCATAGTGACCAAATATCAATCAATTTCACGATACCTTTTAATGAATAATGCATGCAATCGGCTAGACTTTGTGAATTGACTACCAAATTTTTTAAAGTAGTTAAATAACATGTAAGTATTATTTAATACACCTTATATTAATCAATACTTATATAATATTATCTTTGCTCACACATATAGAACACTTGCATATTAAGGAAGAAATGTTAATGTATTTAGTCGCAGAGTAGTCTATAGCTTTTTTTTTCAACAAACGTTAACAGTTTTATATATAGTATTAACACTTGATAGTATAAGAATTAGTTACAAAAAGGGGACCACTGCTCTCATTTCCTTCTGTGCTAAGTCTATCAGCCTCATTAGGAAATCTTGTTCTATATCATGCACTAACGTCACAACAAACTGAGCTACTGTATGACTGATTTCGTTACTTTTGCGATTATTAGATGCTACATGCATATGAGCTACAGCATTAGTCAATAGTTAATTTTAGATTTTTAAGGCATAGACACATTATTCTCTTTTTTAAAGTGTAAGATGTATAACGAATAATTTTTGCAAGGCAATTGATGTGTTGTGGTTTGGGTTATTTATTGTAATTTCGAATTGGTTGTTTTTTTTTAACTCTTAATTAACGAATTCTATTACCTTTTAGATTCCCAATTAATCAGACAAAGTGATTCTATTTTCCTCCTACGTCGTTTTGGAAGCACAAATTTGTCCCAAAGATTCCTAGAATTCATTTGGTTTTGGCAGCACATTTGGTTGTTGTGTCGATATGCTGTCAAAAATTAGTTAATTGAAGACAAGTCCGCGTACAAAAAATTAGTTAATTCGGCTTTCCGTTCCACCATCCCAAAACACGCCTACCATGTGAATCGATCTGCTTTGTTTTTCAGGAATAATTGCTCTTGTACAAGTCAATGAAGAATTAAGGATAAAACTGGAAGAGAAAATGAACCACGAGAATCCAACCATGTGAATCGAGATTAATTAACTCCAATTGCGCATTTTTTTTTTTAAATTAACTCTTTGAATCGAGCAGCTTTCATTTTGACTGGAGCAATTGCTCCCTTCTGAGATTAGAGTTCTGAGATTAGGCTTAACCAAGATTAGAGTTTTACAGCTGCACCTAACACGCAACAGAGATTAGGCTTAACCAAGATGGCTGGCTCTGTCATCTCTCTTGTCATTGGGAGAACTGTTGATCTGCTGCATAAAAAATCTGTTTTCCTGAAAGATGTTGGAAGACAAGTTGAAAGACTTGGAAATGATCTGGAGTGGATGCGGTGTTTCCTGGAAGATGCAGAACAGAGGCAAGATGAAAATGCGAGGATTCGCAACTGGGTTTCTGAAATCAGAGCTGCGGCCTACGATGCGGAGGATATCATTGAGATCTTTGCCAGCAAAATTGAAAGCATAAAAGATAAGGGATTTGTGACTAGATTGGCCTGTTATCCTCGGCGGATTGTGAGCCTCGACAAGATCGGTAAAGAGATTGAGTCCTTACAGACAAGGCTCAATGACATAGCTGCTAGCCGTGAAAAGTATGGTATCAAAAATCTTGGAGAAGGAATGAGTGCACATGGCGAAGAGCTGCAACGGATCCGGCGATCCTCTCCTTTCAGCGAGGACAAGGATATAGTGGGCTTCGAGGAGTTGACAAAATCCCTGGTGGCAGAACTTTTGAAAGAGGACAAAAACCGCCGTGTGGTTTCAATTGTCGGCATGGGAGGTGCTGGTAAAACAACACTAGCCAAAAAAGTTTATAACCATGCTGATGTCAGGGCAAGATTCAATTGCCGTGCTTGGGTCTGCCTCTCTTTAAGCTACGATCACAAAGAGATGCTGAGATCAATCATAAAGCAATTGAATACAGTGGATAACAAGCTACTTGAAATGTTGGAAAAGATGGAAGAGCAAGACTTGGAACGAAGGCTCTATCAAGATCTACAAGATAAATGTTATCTTCTTGTGCTTGATGATGTATGGAAGGAAGAAGCGTGGGATTGTCTTGCTAGGGCCTTTCCTGATGTTAATACATCAAGTAGACTGCTACTTACAAGTCGCAATCGGGGTGTTCCCTTACATGCAGATGCTCTTAGCAAACCTCACGTTCTGAAAACTTTGGGGCAGGAAGATAGCTGGCAGTTGTTCCTCAGAAAGGCCTTAGGCCATGGGGATGATGCTGGGTGCCCTTCGGATATGGAAGAAGTAGGCAGAGAGATTGCAAAAAGATGTGATGGTCTACCATTGGCCATCACGGTTATGGGTGGCCTGCTACTGACAAAGAAAAAGTTGAAGAGTGAATGGGAGAAAGTTCTCAACAACTTCAGCACATACCTATCAAGGAGCCAGAGGGGAGTATCAGCAACTCTGGAATTAAGTTATGCAGACCTCCCTCCCAATCTGAAACTTTGCTTTTTGTATTTGGGTTTGTTTCCAGAAGACTCCGAGATTTCTGTGCGCAAGTTGATCCATATGTGGGTTGCAGAGGGAATAATGCAGAAAAGAGATGCAGAAAATTTGGAGGAAACTGCAGCATATGATGTGGAACAACTTTTTAGCAGAAATATGGTCCAGGTGGTGGAAATGACTACTGATGAAAGGATCAAAAGTTGCAGAGTCCATGATTTATTGCGAGAGCTTGCAATCAGAAAGGCAAATGATGAAAAAATTTTTCACACCGATGAAATCAGAGATGATGAAATATCAGCCAAATCCAGGTACCTTGCTGTTCATATTCTCCCTTGGGATAAAAATTATGTTGGGTGTTCGATCCCTCCTGTCCGGTCTCTGCTTTTTTTCAATATCCACGGTTACAGGGAAAACATTAGTCTTAGCTTCAAAAGTTTCAGAAAGCTTAGGATACTAGATCTTGAGAAAGTTATGATGGCTTATTTGCCAAAAGAAATTGGTGAAATCAGGCTTCTAAGGTACCTCGGTTTACGGCGCACATGGATTACAAGACTCCCTCATTCCGTCGGTTGCTTGCGATACCTACAAACTCTTGACATACGGACAAACTCTGTATATTTCCCAGTGATAGTTTCAAATTTCATTTGGAAGCTTGAAAGTTTACGGCATCTATATGCGCGTGATGTAAGAAGTAATGTGCCTCTTAAGATTGAAGGATTGAGAAATCTCCGAACTCTGTCAGGCATACACTTTGATGACATTATGCACAATAACATGATAACTTTGATGAGTCTTCAGAAACTGGGGATTTGGGTGGATGACAGGTCAGAAATAGACAAACTCTGCATGCATTTATCTGAGGTTGGAAGCCTAAAGGCGCTAGGCCTTTATCGTAATCCAGGAAGAGGGTGGCCACAATCTCTAGCTGGACTTTCTAAGCTCCATCATTTAACAGAGCTCAAGCTATCCGGGGTGAGTTTGAGAACGCTGCCTCCTGATTTCCCTCCAAATCTCTCTCGCTTGTCTTTGAAATTCACACGTCTCAAGGATGACCCAATGCCAACACTAGAGAAGTTGGGACAGCTGTCGTTCCTCAAAATGGAATGTGCGTACGAGGGAAAACAGCTATTCATCTCTAGGCATGGCTTTCACCAATTGAAATTCCTTGAGCTCAGCCGCCTATATGATTTGGATGAAATAAATGTGGAGAAAGGTGCATTGCCACGGCTCCGGTGCCTGAGAATCAGGAAGTGCCTCTCATTAGAGAAGTTGCCGGAAGAGCTTGACCCTGAGCTTGTGGACAAAGCTTGAGCTTGTGGACGTGCCAGAAGATTTCATCAGTGGGCTTGATGCGGACACAGTACCCAGTGCCCGAAGGAACGATTTTACAATGGAAGATATTAGTGTAGTGATTACTAAAATTATTTTAAGTTTGTATCAAAATATATAAACAAAAAGAATGTTTCCAATTCAACATGACTTTTGTTTTCCCCAATTCAACATGACTTGCTTTGTCATTATTTCACTCTTTATTTTCGTCATATAATTCAGATCAACCAACAAGCTTTTTAAGTCCATTTTTTCACACTTCAATGCTTGCTTTTTTTAATTGTCCCACCATTAAATAAGGAATGACTCTTTTGTTATTAATGATGTTTTGGGTAATTAACAGTGCCTATACCTACACCTTATAGGATTTGTCTCTCTATCAATTTACTCCCTCCGTCCCACTTTGATAGTCCTGTTTTCCTTTTTCGTCTGTCCCAAATTGTAGTCCACTTTCCAATTGAAGAATGTAATTATATTTTAATTTTTCTAAAATACCCTTATTTAATATAGGTTGTTGTTACTATAAACTTACCCCATTTAATGAGAGTTGATTCTTTTTTTACCATCAATTCAAGTTCCCATAAAATTGTACTCTATTTAATGTGAGGGTATTTTAAAAAAATAACAATCTAAATTTAGTTTTTCAACAAAATTAACTACTTTTTCTTAAACTGTGTGAAAAAAGAAACAGGACTATCAAAATGGGACGGAGGGAATACATTGCATATATCATATTAATACAAGTAGTAATTTAAAAAAAAAAAGTTCATGTCTTGAATAGGCCTCGAATATCCTGATAGTTTGGCATTTGGCAATGAAATTGACTATATAACCAAAGGCCGACATGAAAGTACGCAAACAGAATTAATCTATCACCTTAAGAACAGGATTTTTGTAATAGTATCCACTGACACACTTATACATATTTCATTTTTAAATGATTTTTCAAATTAATATTTCACTACTGCCAGAAAAGACTAACACACGAGTAACCGTTAGCCCAGCTCTAAAAACAATAATATAAAATACATTCATTTTAATATAGTCAAACTCCTAAAATACAATATAAAAGGTCTATTTTTGTAGACGAGGGAATGAATGAGAAATACAATATCAGAAAAATCAGTCGCAATTCTACGCATGCCATTTATGGTGGTCATTATTGCGGCTGCATCTTGGTGTAAAAAAGGCATGGCCAACAACTCTTACAAGCAAAAAACGAATTATGAATTAATCATGGCCAACAACTCTTATAAGCCACATATTGTCTTTACATTTTCTGTCTGACTTTGAACTTAAAACAGGTAACAACAACGTCCTTCTTTCTTGATGTAACGTACTCCATCTCTATGATGGCCCGAATAAATTTTTTATACAATTTATTTTGCATTCTTTACATCTTCTGCGCAGCTACAACCTTTGGATGTATCCAAGAAGGATTACCTTTGGCATGATGGCTGATAGAGGTCTTTCTGTGTCTGCAGTTCTATATCGACACAAAAGAGTCAGTTATGTTACTTTTCTAAACTCCATTTAATTGGTCGAATTTACAGATATCATCCATTACATATGTAAAACCAATTTGGTTCCTGATATTGTAGGAAAGATGTATCCAAGAATTTATTGTTGGACGTATTTGCGGGTCCAAATTTTGCTTCGTTAGGTGCATTCGAGCATACATTACCGTATAATTTTTTTTTTTTTGTCTATTTTGCTTCGTTGGTTGAGATTTCATGCACTTGTATACGTTACATAATTTGATGTACCTTTGTTGTACACTTAAATTTTATTCAAGTACATCATTTTATTATACAAATAAACATGATGGTTTCTACACGTACACCAAATTCTGAAAAAAATTACAATAACAAAACATAACCACATTAAACCCATCCCAATCCCATATTATACCCTGCCCTTATGCAACAATTAACACATATAGTTTTTCCTGTTCTTTGAGTTTTAATAAACATAAAAAAAATTACAACTCATGCACCGTATATACCATAGGAAAAAATATTCAAGCTATATAAGCATACAACACAAGTACAATTTAACAGTAGAAATATCAATATATCATAATTGCGAGAGTGAAATTAAGTCTCCAGGAAAACGAATTAGAACTTTTGGAAATTGAGGTGAAAATGGAGAGTCGGTGAGAGAAAAAGCAAAAGGGAAAGATATGCATAAAAAGAAAATTAAAAACTCTACATCTTTCTTCTTTTTGGGTAAAACCCAAACAGAAAAAAGAAAAACAGAAGCATTTTCTCCTTATGCTAATTCCAGTAAAGTAAGGAATGTTTGCCTTTTTTATTGTTTTGGTTAATACAATAATTTCTATTCTACATCTACTCCTACTCTATACTAAGGGGAAAGCCTTTACACTCGCTAGTGAATTTTTCAAAAAATTTTGGGGAAGAAACCAAGAGATTTGGTCCATTGACCTATACTCAAGGAGAGATTTAACTCTTTTTTCAGTGGCTAATTACTCTAGAGTTCATTGGTTTCAAGAAAAGTCTGCTTGAAAGAATGATAATTTGTAAACTTTAAATCAAACAAACATGTGAATTTAACTTTTGGAATAATAGGGCCCAAGTTTATTTAATTAAAATAGAAAAATTATACTAAAAAAATCCTAGAGTATACAATAGAAACATGTAAAAGGATTTTTCTATTCTTAACAAAAGTAACCTCTTAATGTTTTAAGGATACAATAGACACGTAGAGAGAGGGTTCGAATCTCTATTTCGAATTCCCCTCTACAATTATATGAACTTCTACCTTGTTTCGAAAACAATAAGGGACGAATGAAAAACCATTTAACTAGTATTATTTTTCGCGATTAGGGCATCCTTATTAGTAAGCCTTGGTGGAAACAAATAGCAGTTAGTCTCAAGAAACTAACTTAAATTGACTTATTGAGTGAATACAATACATCAAAAATCATGAATCATGATCCTTATGGTAATCATGGTTGATTTGTTCTTTTTTTTTTTTTTTTGAGAAAATTCACAATTTCGTTCATAAGATCTACACAAATGAACGATACACCAAATATATCATAGAGATAACAAATTTGAAGAATTTACATATATACAAGATCTGAGAATTCAAATAACAATATCATATTATGAATCTCCAACCTATTCAAATGATATCAATTCCTTTAAGCCCAAAGAATATATGTGCATGTGTCATATTATGAATCTCCAACCTATTCAAATGATATCAATTCCTTTAAGCCCAAAGAATATATATGTGCATGTCTCCGCCTCTTATATTTGCTATTTAACTGCTTCAAACTCATTTGTTAAAGTGACATTTGATAAAATAGATCTTAAAATTTTTAAATTTGACAAACAGATTTTAAAGAGCTAAGATTTGACATAAAAAATATAAACTAAAAGAAAATTCTCACTAGAAACTCTAGGAGAAAAAAAACTCTAGGGGAGAAAACATGTCTCACTAGGAAATCCTAAGAGAAAATGCTCAAAATTTTTATTTGGTTCTTACCCTATATATCAACTTCATTTAATTTATACTGTTCCAAATTCACCTCTTTAAGTTTATGAACTCCTACCTTATTTTCAAAAACAATAATGAATTTTAACTTGTCTTAGTTTTTGTGATTAGGGAATCTTTTAGTAGTTTATAAGTTAAGACATGATTGGAATTGGCAGTCATGGTATTCACATTGAATATTTGGAGATATAATTATATGGGAAACAATATGAAGTTTTATCAATCTCAAAATTTTTTAGATATTTGTTGCAAAACAAAGAGTTCAATATATATGAAAGAATGTTGATAGTTGAATTATTTAAAGACAATAATTGTACTATCTTGGTAATGCTAATAAAGTAGCTGATGCATCATGTAGTAAGGTCAATTCCAATATGTATTCTAATTGAGTAAGCGAAAGTGTTAGGTCTGGTCTCAGAAAATTGACAAGCGAGAGTAATATGGTTCTTGACCACCCAATAAAGACAAAAACAAATCAAATAAACCAAACAACAAAACCTAGAATTTTATGTGGTTCAGTCAAATTCACCTACGTTCATGGGCAAATGGATAGTAGATTTACTATAATAGAAAGAGAGTACAAAAGAAAGAATACAAAATCCTAGGAAATAATTTCTAGATCTAAAAAGGCACCTGAAATTGAAAATATAAAAGAGATTAAAAATTTATATATATATATATATATATATATATATATATATATATATATATATATATATATATATATATGTGTATATAAAGAGATCCCATATTTAGCTTAATTAGATGCATTCGAGCATACATTCCCAAATAAAAAATTATATATATATATTGTCTATTAGTTATCTAGGGTGAGGTACGGTTGGTTGAGATTTCATGCACTTGTATACGATACATTAATTTGATGTACCTTTGGTGTACACTTAAATTTCATTCAAGTGCATCATTTTATTATACAAATAAACTTGGTTTCTACACATACACCAACTTCTGAAAAAAAAAATTACAATAACTATACATAACCACATTAAACCCATCCCAATCCCAAATTAATTCTGTTTCAGCTTCACACCCTTGCATTCCCCACCCTTATGCAACAATTAAAATATATATATAGTTTTTCCTGCTCTTTAAGTTTTAATAAACATAAAAAAAAATTACAAATCAGGCACCATATATACCATAGGAAAAATATTCAAGCTATATAAGCATACACCAATCTAACAGTAAGAATATCAAATAAAGTCATTAGGAAAAAGGAAATGGAAACTTTTGGAAATTGAGATGAAAATGGAGAGTTGGTGAGAGAAAAAGCAAAAAGGAAAGGTATGCAGAAAAAGAAAATTGAAAAAAGTGTTTTTTTTATAAAAGGGGAAAACAAAAAATGAAGGAAAATGAACTTATATCCCTTCAAAAGTTAAAACTCTACATCTTTCTTCTTTTTGGGTAAAACCCGAACAAGGAAAAGAAAAAAAATAAGC